ATTTTAGTGTGTGGTTTACAAAAAGAATACAACTACCACAAGCCAGCAGAGACTGACCAATCTGAGAGGAAGAAAGGTGGCATTTGAAGGCAGCACTTAAGAGTTTCCTGGGCAGTGAGAATGGGAAGCAGAAGTTTGACTTTCTGACCAAGTCTTTGAATGAGTGTCTCTATTTGCCCAGCCATGACTTCACTCATTCTGAGTCAACACTTTCACACTGGCTCTTCCCATGCTTCCTCTGTTTTGAGTGAGGAGAGAATGAGATAGAGAAAACCTAGTGTTCCAAAGATGCCAGTGTTTGTGTTGGCAGCTATATTTCTCTTTAGGATTAGCCACTTTATCATCTCTGATCAGAGTTGGTAGTGCAGATAATCCAGATAGTGAGCAAGAAAATCATTGGGCTTTAGTTCTCTAATGCCCTTGAAATACACATTTTGTTATAAACTGGTCTGTCAACTTTGAATTCCTCATTTCAAATTAAAATAACAACATCTGGTTGGGAAGGTGTGTCTCTGGATAAAAGGCTTGTCTCACAAGTGTGGGGACCTGATCAAATACCCAGACTGACATAAAGTCAGGCATGCGTAATACATGTCTGCAATCCCACCTCTTACAGAAAGATTGGAGGCAGAGACTGGAGAATCCCAGGAGCTCACAGGCCAACTTGGCTGGTGAGCACAGTGGTGAGCAAGAATGAGAGAGACCTTTTTTCAAGTAGTAGAAAGTGGGGACCTTCATCCAAGGTTATACTTTGTCCTCCACACAAATGCCATAGCATGAATCATACACACACAGAAGACAAAAGTCTCCAGTTGAACTGGGTGGTGGCACATGCTTTTAATCCCAGCACTTGGGAGGCAGAGGCAGGTGAATCTCTGTGAGTTGAGGCCAGCCTGGTCTACAAGAGCTAGTTTCAGGACAACTAGGACTATACAGAGAAACCCTTAAAAAAAAAAAAAAAAACTCCAGTCTCCAGTTTACCTTCTCTACCACATCACGATTTTCTTGACGACTATAGAAATCTTCCTTTTCTTCGTAGTTACACAGTTATCCTCAGTGTCCATAGAGGACTCATTATACATACCCTTACAGAAAATGGTACATAGTGTTTGTATGAAATCTATCTGAATCTTTCCATATACTTTAAGTCATCTCTACATTATCTATAATATCATCTAATAGAATATAAATGCCATATAAGTAATTGTTAAGACTGTATTGTTGACCGTGGTTTCTGTCCCGCCTGGTCCTGCAGCCATTCAGTCCCAAAGAAAACACACAGAGGCCTACATTAATTATAAACTGGTTGGCCTGTTAGCTCAGACTTCTTATTAACTCTTATAACTTTTATTAGCCCATAAGTCTTGTCTGTGTTAGCCACATGCCTTGGTACCTTTATCAATGAGGCATTCTCATCTTGCTTCCTCTGTCGCAGACACACCCTCTCCTCTTCCCAGGAGTCTCCTGTTCTCGTTGCCTGCCTCTACTTCCTGCCTGGCTACTGGCCAATCCGTGTTTTATTAAAATACAAGTAACAAAACTTTACAAGGTACAGATCATTCTCTCAGAGCACTGTATTATCTAGGAAATAATGACAGAAAAGACCAGGTGGTGCATATTCAGTATAGGTGACTTTTTTTTTTAACCCCGAGTAATTGTTTCATAATTGATTGAATCTTTAGATACCTAACTCACAGATATGGAACCCTGACTTTATATTGTCAGACCAGTACAGTAGAGATGGATTTGGGAGGCATCCTAACTTCAGAGTTCTTACCTTACAATTGAGCCTAAATACCAATGAGGATCCTCAAAATCTCTGGAGTTTAAAGATACAGGGAATGAGCGGTGAATGGCATTTTGGAATGTGTTGAGGATACTACATTTGCTGAACAGTAGATAAGTAATCGAGTTTACAAATGACAGATTTCTGACATAGTAAGAGCTATTAATTCATTATAGCTAGTTTAGGCTTTTGTTATATATCCAAATGCTAAATCAAAACTCATGTCTTGAGTATGCGAATGAAGTGTTCTACCATTTAGTGACATGTCCCCAGCCCTTCAAATAGACTATTTAGCATTTTATAAAATCTTATTTTAAAACCACCTATGATGTATGTGTGTTTGGCTCTTTTGTGGCTGGATGTCATGTAACCTAGGCCGTCCTTGAATTTACTATGTAGCTAAGGATGACCTTGAACTGATTTCATGCCTTCCTGTCACAAGTTCTGGGATTAGACATAGGTCACCATGCACAGTTTAGTTTCCACATAATCTCTATGTTTATATGTGTGAGTGTTTTGCCTTCATATGTGTATCTGCGTCACATGCATACAGTGCCTGTAATACCAGAAGAGGGCATCGGATCCCCTGGGACTGCACTTAGCAGACTTATGAGCTACCATGTGGATTCTAGGAATCAAACTTGGGTCCTCTGGAAGAGCAGCCAGTGTTCTTCAGTGAGCCCTTTCTCTAGCTCCTATAATCTTTACTTTTAATTGCTGCTTACATGAATTTGATACCCTTTTCTCTCCAGTTGTGCCCTGGAAGGAGTAGTATTTTCTACTTGGAGTAAGTTTACTGGCCAACCTAGTGTCCTATAAGCTCACAAAGAGACCTACGTCAGAATGAGACACCAAGCTAGCATGTTCTAGCCCAATTAAAGCCCAGCCTGAGAAGTAAGGCCTTGCCTTTACTGACTCTGTTGATTGGCTCCCTGTGGATTATAAACGAACCTTCCTTAACAAGCACATTGAGAAGCTTTGCTTTCCCAAACTCTCTAGGACCAGTAATTAATCCAGCTGGTAATGAAGACACAGAGTTAAAGTCTGGAAAGGCATTATTTAACTCTTTCCATGCTAAACAGTTGATAGCTTATTTTCCTTTGTAATCCTTTCAGGTCAGGCATGATGATCCACACCTTTAGTCCCAGCACTGAAGAGGCTGAGGCAGGAGAATCTCAAGTTCAAAACCAGGCTGATATATAAAGAATGTTGTTATTGTTACTGCCTATTTTGAGGGGGGGGGGAGTGTTTCTAAGTCTTTTAAAAAGTCTTAGCATTTATTTGGGACAGTTTAAAAGTAGTCTCAGCTGGGTGGTGGTAGCACACACTTTTAATCTCAGTACTTAGGCAGAGGCAGGTGATCTCTAAATTCAATACCAGCTTGGGCTACACAGAAACCCTGCCTTGAAAACCAAAAACCAAACAAACAGTAACAACAATATAAAAAGATAGTCTTCCTTTGTGTATCTGTGGAGGGGCTACTAATGAGACTAAAAGGGGAACTTTTAAGTTTATAGTGTGTTTATTTCATTTGTGCATTTTAGATAGCTATTGTTTTGTATGTGAAGAAATATAAAATGTATATAATCCCTTTTCTGCTGCATGTATCTGAGGTTAGAGAAAGACACTCAAGAAACCAGGATAAAGGGGAAAATGACTTTGAGATGTACTTTCTTAAAATAACTGGAGGAGTGACCTCATGAGCCAGCTGATAGCATGGGTTTGCAATTGGATACATTTCTATTAGTCTGCTACTTGATGCTTCAGAGTCAAATATACCTGGAGTGTATTAAATCAGAACTTGTGGGCAGGAGACTGTCTGAGTAGGAAGAAATTAGGAAGAGATGAAGTGGCATTATCTGCACAGGAATTAACCAGACCTGTCTTGGTTACATAAGCACAGATGATTTGGATTTATGGTTCCCTACTATATAGCAATTTGTATTGTCTTCTGGTAGAATGGGATTCCATTTTATATGAAGAATTATAGATACACCTGGAAGATACATTCTTCCATATGACAGTATTGATGTACTCATTCTGACTCTTTGCTCAGAATGGCTTCTCCTGGTTGTATGGTACAAAGGCAGCACAGATGTGTTCTTGGCATATACTGCTCTCTGTGCAGGGTCTAAAATCTTAACTGCTTTTCTAGCCACAAATCTTCACCCTTGCTGAAGAATATTCATAGCACAAACCTTTCTGAGCATGTGCACTAGTTACTGTGCCAGGAAGTATATGTCAGCTGACTGTGGTTTAAACCCACTGTGGTTTAAATCTCAGCTCTGCAGATTCAAGCTGAATGAAGTCCATGTATTTAAAGTACACAAGTGTCAATACATCTAACTTTGAGACTTGTGCACACTGGCCTGGCTTCCAAGGAACTTGATAGAAGAATTCTTGGGTTATTTTCACCTTATTAACTGAAAAGCAATTTATTTTCATTTATTTTATAGGCATCCACCTCTTCGTGGATATAACCCATCTTTTAGTGTTCATACTGTTTTTCTTTTTTTTTTTTTTAAATATTTTCTTTGGTCTCTTTTTTTTTTAATTTTTATTATTTATTATGTATACAATATTCTTTCTCTGTGTATGCTTGCAGGCCAGAAGAGGGCACCAGACCTCATTACAGATGGTTGTGAGCCACCATGTGGTTGCTGGGAATTGAACTCAGGACCTTTGGAAGAGCAGGCAACGCTCTTAACCACTGAGCCATCTCTCCAGCCCCTCGTACTGTTTTTCATTTTCCTCTGAGACGTTCCTGCTCCAGAGTTCTCTCATGTACAGATACTGATGGTTAACCTGTTGCTCATTTTCTTCTTCTGCTGTGACTTGACTGCCACCTCCAGAACAGTGCTGCACTCCTTGCTATGAACTGCTAGTTAGCTCATAAGAAAAATAGGCCCTATTGCCAGTAGTGTCTCCAGTAGCAGAAGTCAAGTTTGGAGAGAGACATTGTTGCCCTTTGAAGAACAAGTCTACAAATGGCAGCTTTTAAGGTCTCCTTAATCAACAGATGTATCCTCCCCAGTCATCCGTGGAGCAGAAGTAACCTGGAGGAAGCAATGGGCTGTCAGCTGTCACACTTGGGATTTTCTGGCACTCTCAGGAACACTACCTGTTTCATGATCTTAGATTTTGGTGGGGGCCACAAGCACATCCCAGGTGTCTGTCATGACTTCATTGTGATAACCATGCTCTTCTCTTTCAGGCTCAGCTCCGGGCATTTATCCCAGAGATGCTCAAGTATTCCACAGGTCGGGGAAAACCAGGCTGGGGAAAAGAAAGCTGCAAACCTATCTGGTGGCCAGAAGACATCCCATGGGCCAATGTCCGCAGTGATGTCCGCACAGAAGAGCAAAAACAGAGGGTAAGTTCATCTGAGCTGCCCGTTGCTTTGCCATTCTGAATCAGTTGCCTCAACTTGTGTCACTTCTGAAATCAGTGTAGGGAAGTCTGCCAAGTGTGTACTAGTTACCCAGCACTTGGAGAAGAATGGCTGATCTAGATAACCTTCATCCTTTTTCTATACATTTGGTTTTTTACTTTATCTGGAAGTTTATTAAGAGACTTAATATATAATTCTTGATCAGAGTGAGATCTCTTATGAGAAATTTGAGAGTTTGGACTAGGACTTAAAACATAAAACCAATACTAAACCAGACTTTGGTTAGGAATGAAAGCCCGAAAAAAAAAAATCAGTTTTTTGTTCCAGAATAATTCTGTGAGAAATCCTGTGATGAACTCTACAAAAGGTTCAATAAATACACAGATGATTATTTCGTAGTGGCCTAAATACCAAAATTCTTTGTGACTTATTGTGCTTTCCTGGTCTTTTGGTGACAGGTTTCATGGACCCAGGCATTACGGACCATAGTTAAAAATTGTTATAAGCAACATGGACGGGAAGATCTTTTATATGCTTTTGAAGATCAGCAAACACAAACACAGGCCACCACCACACATAGTATAGCTCACCTCGTACCATCACAGACCGTAGTACAAACCTTCAGTAACCCTGATGGCACCGTGTCGCTCATCCAGGTAAGCCCGGGCTTTGGGGAGGTGGGCAAATGGCATCTTGCCTCAGACTGGAGAAGTTTCTTATGCAGACACTCTTCTCTAGGTATCATACAGCTGCTCTGGTCTTCTTACCTAGAGATAACTTCTAAACAGTGCTCTGTTTATTTATTTTTTATTTCATTTTCTTGTGATGCTTGGAATGCGACCGAGGCCTCACCCACACTAGGAAAGTACTCTACCACATATAGTATTTTACATTGCTTGCATTTTGTTTAATTCAGAGCTATCAATAGCTTTTGGGACATTTCCAAACAAAGCATTTGAAAATGGTTTCTTGGGTTAGGGTCCACTTTAGTGGTAGAATGCCTGCTTATCGCCTGTAGCGAGAATTAAAGAGGAGGATTTAGGGAGGAAGAAAGGGAATGAAAAACAGATAAGGGTACTTGAGAACACGCACATCAGGAAAATACCTTTTCTGAGGTGAAACGCTGTTGAAATAAGAGCGGCGGGGCTGCGTCCCCAACACCCCGGCCGCTCGGCTAGCTCATGCCCGAAATAACAACACACAAACTGTATTCATTTAAAGAACTGCTTGGCCCATGAACTCTAGCCCTTACAGGCCAATTCTCGCACCTGGACTAGCCCATTTCTAATGATCTGTGTAAGCACCCCAAGGTGCGCTTACCGGGAAGATTCTAGCCTAAGTCCATCGTGGGTTGCAGCTGCTTGATTGCGTGCATCTGCCTGGGAGAGCTGAGCATGGCGTCTCTGCTCCAGCAGAGCTGTCGGGTCCCTCTGGAAGCAGAGCAGAGTCTGACCTCACTTCCTCTTCCGCCCAGCATCCTATTCTGTTTTCTCCTCCCACCAATGCTTTAACCTATCAGGGCCAAGCAGTTTCTTTATTGCTCAGCCAATGAAATCAACAGATTGATGACACTCCCACATCAAAACGCCATTTATTGACAGATGAATCTCTGAAGTTCACGTTGGGTTAGAGGAGAATGTTGGTTGCCACCAAGTGCTGGAATAAGATGCACTCACTCTTCTAATACTGAACTCATGCTGGTCCCTGAGAGATGATTTTAGTAATCTCTTCATATCCCAGGCATGTTGTGCTGAATGCAGGGAGACTTAGCTTCTTTGTAGGGGCCGGGCAGAGGGCCCATCTACAGACACTTAACTTTCCGTGTTTCTTAGGTGGGTACGGGGGCAACAGTCGCTACATTGGCCGATGCTTCAGAACTGCCAACCACAGTCACTGTTGCCCAAGTGAATTATTCTGCTGTGGCTGATGGAGAGGTAAGAAAAAGGTTTCGGTATGCCCCTATTGAAGTAGTGCATGGAGAAGTAAGGGCCCAGAAGACAAAAGAGCAGCATGTATTATTTGAACCCATGTAATAGCAGACTATGAAAGTTTGGAGAAGTATTTTATACTATGTTAATTGTAACAATTAAAATTTGTGGATCACTACAACCTAAATTGACCTGATACAAACTTAGAATTTCACATTAGTAATGTATTTCATATATTATATACACAATAAAAGGGATTATCCTTTCAGTATTTTTATAAGAAAAGCCATTTCAGGGTTCCCTTGCTGACCACAGCTAAGTAAGTAGTTGCAAAGAAAAACATCTCTAACCTTAAGCAGTTTAAAGTTATTTAGGGACACTGTACAAATTACATGGACATTTAGAATTTCACATTAAATTGTAAAGTGAACTATGTTGCTTTTAAAAATATGTAGTTTGGGGCTGGAGAGATGGCTCAGTGGTTTAGAGCATTGCCTGCTCTTCCGAAGGTCCTGAGTTCAATTCCCAGCAACCACATGGTGGCTCACAACCATCTGTAAAGAGGTCTGGCGCCCTCTTCTGGCCTTCAGGCATACAGACAGGATATTGTATACATAATAAATAAATTAATAAATATTTAAAAAAAATAAATAAAAATATGTAGTTTATTTGAAGATGCAATTAAGAAACAGTTATCTTGCACAATGGGACCACCAGTTGCTATTGGTCATGTTGATTACATTAGACATTAGAAAAATCAAATGATTTCTGATGATGATGGCATACATAATTCTGCTGCAAAGGAAAAAGACATCCAAGTACAAAGACATTAAAGATCTGAATTTCAAAGTGGGACACCAGCACATGTGATGAGTTTGAAATTATATTACATATTTTGGTAGGTTCTTAGTGACTGTCAGTTCAGCTGAAATATGGGTAGGCTCAATAACAAGTAGGAAAATAAAGGAGTGTGTTCTCCACCCTCACCTTCAGTAAATGCCAGGCTTTGCCGTCTAGAGACAGGACAGTAAGAGGTGGTGGGGAAACCATGGTCAGCCATTCAGTGAACAGCAGCAGGGGGAGAGATGGGGCCCGCGTGTAGTGCTGTGGATTTGCTTGAGTGCTCTCCAGAGGAATAATAGACCTGAGCTCAGATTAGGGGAAGCAAGCAAAAGCAAAGGCTACAGGGTTAGGGGTATGTCCTAGCCAAGGCAGCAAACATGGAAATGCCCTGAGTTTTGAAAGTGTGAAATGGCTACAGTGGTTTGCTCTAGCTAGATGTAAGAGGAGCTACCATTTGAAAGGCTTCAGCACAGTGCGTTTCTCTCAGCAATAGGACATCTTCTGGATAGCTTTACCTCTTGGGCTTAGAGCTCTCTTTGGAACATGGTAGCCTGCAGGCACATACAGTTACATGCAGGAGGGAAGAGTAACATAGCAGGCACTCAAGCAAACATGGCCAAGGGAAGCACTGCTTAGAAGTACGTAGTGCCAAGTCTACCTTCTGCCTCCCATCCAAGCCCAACAGTTTTCTCTGTTTCTTTCCCCTGGCCTCCTTCTTTTCCTTTCTTGATAAGGTCTTGCTATGTAGCCCAGGCTGACCGGGGACTTGGGGGCCTCCCCAATACTGGGATTTAGGTGTGTGTGACCATACTTGACTCAAAGTATTTTCAGTGATTTCTCTTGTGTGTTTCCAGAACTTCTTGATACAGACACAAATTCAAATGTAAATTCTAACGGTCCCCTTTTTTACACAAACTATAGCATACTGAAACTCTCCCCATATATTATAGGACATGTGTGCTTTCATTTGGCTGAAAACATAGTGTTCCATGTTTTGACTTTTGACTGTCCTTGTCCTTTCTGCTTCAGGTGGAACAAAATTGGGCCACGTTACAGGGAGGTGAAATGACCATCCAGACAACACAAGCATCAGAGGCCACTCAGGCGGTGGCATCACTGGCAGAGGCCGCAGTGGCAGCTTCTCAGGAAATGCAACAGGGAGCTACTGTCACCATGGCGCTCAACAGGTGGAGGCAGGGGTGGGGAATAAATGGGATTGCAGGTCTGTCCTAAGAGAGACTCATTCTTTCTCAGTCAGAGGTGACAGTTAGGGATATCTTCAAGGTCATCAAACACTGGAGGCTGGGTTGTTTTGTTTTCTACAGTCCTGGGAGTAGAGCTCCCAGGCCCCTGTACGAGCTAGACTAACATTCTAATACTGAGTTACTGCACTTTGGTTCCTAATCAGCCCTCGCCAAGGAAAATTGAACCCTTTCTCTTTAGGGCTAGTTAAGAAGAGCAATGTAGGAAGAGAAGCCTTTTCCAAAACAGAATTACAAGTTTCCTTCTGGCCACTTCCTGCTGGTTATTGACAGGAAAGATCATGCCCATATTATTCTTCATTGTTGACACAATTTTATTTTCAGAGACCCAGACTTTGATTAATCGTTAAGAACAGGGACTGCCCTGTCACTTGCTAACCGGCTGACCCTGGACAGTTTTTTAAACTCTCATTGCCCAAGGTGTCTTTTTTTGTAGACTGGGAGTAATACCAATACCTGCCTTAAGGAAGTGTTAAGACAACTAAGTCACTTTGGGTGAGATCTTTGGATCAGTGCCTGGCATATGATAAGAGCTGCTGCTAGTCATCTGTGTGGCTCTTAGTCTCACATAGTCCTTGACCTCCCTACAAGCCAGCACTCTTCCTGGGGGAGGCCATGAGGAGAGGCTCTAATTTCAGCAAACCACCTACCAGGTGATACTAGAATGTTCTTCACTATTAAATTGTGGAACTCTGACTGGACATTGTAGAGATCCAGAGAGAGGGGTCACTTTCCCTGACATACAAAAATAAGCTGACGTGTAGATTTGGAGAGACCTATTTTTGTTAAATTAGCTTGGTAGATACAGATGACTGGAGAGCAATGATGTGTCTGTGTGCAGTGTGTATAGCGCTGTACAGTGTGTTGTTTGAGAAGAAGATTCCAAAGCCCCATAGATTTCTGGATTGAATCGCAGCTAAACCATTTGTTATCTTTTTGACTCTGAGAAACTTTGTTTCTACCCTTAATTCCTTCTTTGTTTTTTGTTTGTTTTAGTTGCTTTGTTTTGATTTTGATTTTTAGAGATACGGTTTCTTTGTGTAACAGTCGTAGCTGTCCTGGAACTCACTGTGTAGACCAGGCTGGCCTGGAACTTAGAGAGATCCGCCTGCCTCTGCCTCCCAAATGCTGAGATTAAAGGCGTGCGCCACGACCACCTGGCCCCTTCTCTCTTTCTTTCCAGAGGGTCTCACTATAAGCCAGGCTGGTCTCAAACACAGGTGATCCTTAGCCTCCTGAGATTATAGGTATGAGCCACCTTGTTCATCTTACTAAATTACACTTCAAGGGTTTAGATCAATGGAGAGTCTGGTGTGTGCGAGGCCTGGGTTCAAGCTGTGCTTTAAGACTTGTCTAGTCAGAATTGTGATCGTGGAGTGTGATTATAAAAGCAGTCAGGATGAGGCAACCTAGAATCCAGGGGTGCTTTGTTAAAGGCCTGGAAACCAGGCATTTGAAGGAAGCCATGACTCGGGTGTAGTTGGTCAGACTCCTAATACTGAGACACAGGCTTGCGCTCACTCTCTGCCTCTCACACTTACCAAATGAATTTCCGTGTGACCTGGAGCTGAAACTTCCCAGCCCAGTGATTCGTGTACTGTTCAGAATCATGGAACTCACAGCTTCTGTACACTTTGGCCCTCTTCCACCCCTTCCCTTCAGGTACTCAGATAAATTTCCCAAAGGGCTCCTCAGAGGGAGAGCCCCTCCTTCAATCTGGTGTCCCCTTACTGTTACTTTGTTTCTAACAAACCATCACTAAAGACCAACAAGACCCTAGCCTTCTAGTCAACACCTTGACTTGTGGTGTCCTGGGAAGCCTGCACATAGTGGAAAATCTGAAGCGCATTCTGGCTCCCTTTGTGTGAGGACACGCTTATTTCTAAAGGCCATGAGTATAATGGTGTCCCCTGAGGGCTTGTTAGCTGCACCTCAGGTGCAGCCGAGGCGGCTACAGTGTTAATTCCAGAAAGGTGAGTGTGGTTCCTTGTGGCTTGAAGGAGGAGCAGAGGGATGTTGAAATCTGTCTGCAATCAGACAGTCCAGTGCTCAGTGAGTCTTGGGGTGATAGGTTCAGCCTCTGGCAGAAGCCGAGCCTGGCAGCAAAGCAAGTTGTACCCCACGAGTGAATGGTTTTGTGAGGTTAGGTGGGTCCAAGACAACCCCTTACTCATTGCATGAGATGCAATGAAATCCTTTATCCCCACAAAATTTATTGTTGGAAGTCCTCTTGGAAAAAAAAATACACAGAGAACACTGGTCTTTGTTCCTATGGTAACAAAGTGATTTCATAATCTGTCGCCAGTCTCTGTTTCAGGTGCAGATGGAAGAAGCATGATTCTCTAATAAGCACCTGCACGTCTGCTGCACTGTAAACAGCAGATGTGAGTGCAGGGCGAGAAAGGAGAAGCCAGCTGTGGGGAAAGGCAGTGGGGGCCTAAGAAGGCACAAGGTTCCTTCATTCACTAGAGGGGACGGGGTCAGGACAACTGTAGGCAGACCTGTTTTTCAACTATGCTGCTAAAAGAATTTTTACTGCAAGTCAGAACAGGACCCAGGGATGCACAACCTTAGCCCACCCTAGCATCATAACAACCCAAAGGGCTGTGGAAAAGTTACCGTATTAAAAATGGGAAGTGGTGTTCATTTTAATAATTCAAATAAAGAATAAGCCAGCACTTTTAGGAAGGAGATGGGAAGGGAATCGTGGTTAACAAATACAGAACACAGCATCACACATGCACGTGCGCACATACACCAAACAAAAAAAATAGCTTTTCAGCTTAGACAAGCAGGGAAAGGTAGTGATGTCATGACACCTGATGAGGTTGACGCTTTGCGTAATTGGTCGGCTCTTCTGTACTTACAGTCCCTCTTAACCAGGCCCCCGCAAAGATACTTCTCCAGTCTCCAGCGCAGCCCTGCATAGAGATACGTGGTGGGGATTAGTAGGCTGGGCCTGTGTTTACCCTGTGTTGTCAATGTGGTTTTTGTGTTCTGCTGAGCACGGTGCTTCCACTCAGCATTGTGAGGAAGCTGCTGCTTGGGTTGATTCTTTTCGGGAAACTTAGAATGTGCCCTTCTTTAGCTGTGGAAACTGCTTTAAAAAAGAAGTAAAATAGCATGGTATTTTATAAATAAGCACATGCCAGGGTTACTTAGCAAAGCCCTATCTCAAACAAACAGCTGCAAACAAAACAAGGGGCAGGAAGGAGGAAGGAAAAGAAGTAAACCATTTTGAAATAAAGTTCATTCTCTTTTTATTTTTAACTGATACACAAATATACATACTTAGGGGAGTATTGTGACATTTCAGTATATTGTTTACTCTCCAAACTGAAAATATTATTAGAGATATCATTAAAATATAATGTTGCTCTAGTATATAGATTGGCATTGGTCCAATAAGATGGGGTGGAGAATGTGAATCAGGTGGTCCTTATCTATAATAGGTAAGAACTATGCGCTTTCCTTTAGATTAAAATTGGACATCTAGCCGGGCAGTGGTGGCGCACGCCTTTAATCCTGGCACTTGGGAGGCAGAGGCAGGCGGATCTCTGTGAGTTCAAGACCAGCCTGGTCTACAAGAGCTAGTTCCAGGACAGGCTCCAAAACCACAGAGAAACCCTGTCTCAAAAAAACAAAAAAAAAAAAAAAAAAATGGACATCTACAAATAAAAGGTTGGGGGCCAGGCAATGGTAGTGCGTGACTTTAATCCAGGAGGACAGACACCAACCAAAGCTACACAGAGAAAACCCTGTCTCAGGTGGGATGGGAGGGGGGACTAATGAGGGGTCTTGGCGATAACTTAGTAAAGTGTTTGGGGGTGTGTAGCAGACCCACAGACCTGAGTTTGAACCTCATCCCCCGGCTACAGAGTATGGTGTCTTGCTTTTGTGACTCAGCACTGAGGAAGTAGAGACAGCAGATCCCTGGGACTTGGTAACCAGACAGCCTAGCCTCATGGGTGAACACCAGGCCAATGAGAGACCCTGCCTCAGAAAACAAGGTGGGCCTCTGGCCAACACACACACACTGATCGGAATCAGTCTTTTAGAGTTCTGCTTTGAAAATGGGTTTTGACTAAAATTTACAAAGTGGTAGCTTAGGAACATTATTTAATCCCAATTTATATTTTTAAGTAATCAAAAAATTAGGTTTATTTATTTTCTGTGTATAAGTATTCTGCCTGCATATATATATATGTATGCCACATGCATGCTAGTTCTATTAGAAGTCAGAAGAGAGCTTCAGATCCCCTGGAACTGGATTTACAGGTGGTTGTGAGCCACTGTGTGGGTGCTGGGGATCAAACCTGAGTCCTCTGCAAGAGCAGCAGTAGTCTTAACCACCAGGCCTTCTCCCCAGCCCAAGTTAAAGATTTCTCCTCAACAGAGAACTGAACCTAGGACTTCACACATGCTGGGCACATGTTCTCCCACTGAGCGCTTAACCTATATTTATTTGTTTATTTTTGGTTCTTCGAAACAGGGTTTCTCTTTGTAACAGCCATAGCTGTCCTGGAACTAGTTCTTACAGACCAGGCTGGTCTTGAACTCACAGAGATCCGCCTGCCTCTGCCTCTGCTGGTATTAAAGGCGTGCGCCACCTATAGTATATCTATCTATTTCATAGAGATAGATAGATAGATAGATAGATAGATAGATAGATAGATAGATAGGTAGATAGATAGATAGGCAGGCAGATAGATAGGTAGATAGGTAGGTAGATAGGTGGGTAGATGGATACATACATACATAATCTCCTCAGTACTTTAAGTTTTAATGATTTTCTGGTACGTGTCACAAAGGTTCCAGGGCTGGCCTTGAACTTACTCTATAGTCTACAGTTTGGCTATTCCTGCTCAGCCTGTTGAATAACTAGGATTAGAGGTCCCAGACAGGGCTTTCCCTACTCCAACTACCCCAGAACAAGATCTTGCAAGATAGCCCTGGCTAGCTTCAAACTTGTGGCATTCCTCCTTCCTCGTCCTCCCAAATGAGAAATTAAAAGCAGGATCTGCTTACAGCTGTCTGGATGTAATGTTTCCACCAGTGTCTGTATTGTACAGGCCCTTTACTCTGTGGATTCATAAGATTTGTAATTTTTCTATATAAAACATAGGCTTTACCTTTGTTCTCAAGAATAAATAACTCTTCTCATCTTCTAAAAGGCACCTGCTACAGCTGTCACTTCTGAGGTTTTCTGTCTTTTGGGTCTGTCTCTCTTCCCTGAGGAGTTACTGTGCCCATTGCCTTACCTGTTGAGCTTCAATAAAAGAACTGTATTTAATAGGGTGTGCATTGCTTTGCCCCAGTCAGTGACAGGTCTATACCAGCCAGTCCTCTTCCCTCACCAGTCCCCACTAGAGCCTGGGATTGCAAGAAAACAGCTTTATTGGTGCAGAGCCTGCAGTTTCAGAGCAGAACTGCATCTGTTACCTTATGTGAAGATGGAACCAGGCCTTAGCCCACCTCTGCTAAATTAAATGGCACTAGCTTCTCTACTGTGTGCTCACTCAGGCAGTTTTGAATATTTGCTTATTACGTATGTATGTGCACATTTGCATATGCCACAGTACACATGTGGAGATGAGAGGATGGTTTGTAGGAGTTGATTCTCTGCTTTCACCTTGTGGGTTCTGGGGATCAAACTTGGGTGACAAATGCTTTCACCTATTGAGCCATCTTGCTGGCCAGTGTTCGCTTACTTAAAAAAATGTTTTTAGTTTGTGTGTGGTGTTTCTTCGGGGCCGCAGTTACTTGTTTCTGTGTGCACATGGGGGCTAGAGGAGAGTGGTGGGTGTCCTGCTCTGTCACTCTGTTTCAGACAGGGTCTGTCACTGAATTAGAGCCAAGCTGGCAGGCAGAAAACCCCTCTGATCCTGCTATCTGCCCCAACAGCACTGGGTGACGGGACACACACAGCCATGCCAGCTTTTTTCTTATGGGTGCTCAGTTCAAATCAGATCCTTGAGCTTGCAGAGCAAACTGCCTTATCTCCTCATGCTCCCTCAGGGACTCCAGTTGTCAGCTGATGACCTCCATCTTCATAGGCGAGATTCTGAGATTTCTGAGCTCTTTTATTTTGTTTTTAAAATCATTGAAATTCGGATGACAATTTTTAGTCTTAAAATTCCATCTTCAGGAAATTTCTTCCTTCCTGGCGTAGTAAAAAAAAAAAAAAAAAAAAAAAAAAGTCTAGGCCTGACGGTGGTGCACACCTTTAATCCCAGCACTCAGGAGGCAAAGACAGAAAGATCTCTGTAAATTCGAGGTCAGCCTGGTCTACGAGAGCTAGTTCCTGGACAGGCTCCAAAGCTACAGAAAAACCCTGTCTCGAAAAAAAAACCAAACAAACAAAAAAATAGTGCATGGCATTACAGAGTCATAAAAAAATGAATGCTTATATATAGTAAAAGCAGATAGCAATGATTGGGGGGGGGGGGAACGGGACCAAACTGCTAGAACCATGTGTTACCTTTAAACAGATTTCTCTGCTCTATGCAGTGTTGGCTTTGTAGGAAAGGGAATTGTTGATTTCCTTGAACTTGAGAGGCCAGAACTTTGGTTTACAGTAATGATTTTAAACTAAGACGTCATTTTTAATGAAACAAAAGGAAGAGCTGGATTATTCACATTAGTGGTCAGCCATGGCTTCGTGTTTGAAAAGGGAGTGTGTAAACTATCGGAGAGCACGTCCAGCTTGCGGACTCCTCGGATTATCATCCATCTTTGAGTTAGAGGAACACTTTCTGATTGTCTGTCTTATGGTACCTTGTGATTGACAGCCGAGATGGTTTTGTGTGACTGTGAACGGGGCTTCCACTTTGGGTTCAGTTGATGATGATAGGGAAAGACTGACAATGAACACCTCAATGAAGTCCTCAAACACTCGTGACCTCGTTTTAAAGAAAATTTCACATTAGCTTCAGAGAGATGTAAGACTTGAGACTTCTCTAGCCATCTGATAGTGAAAATTACTCTTGGCTCTTACCCCTGGTGCCTGCACTCATCCTGCATCTGTCCTGTCCCTGTGCCCACAGTGAAGCTGCCGCCCATGCTGTTGCCACACTGGCTGAAGCCACCTTACAAGGCGGGGGACAGATAGTCCTGTCTGGAGAAACTGCAGCAGCCGTTGGAGCACTTACTGGAGTCCAAGATGCTAATGGTAAGAGATCATAAATATTTTATTGAATTTATTCCCTCTTTCCACTTAAACCTTCCTGATATAGCCGGCAACAAACCCTTTAGGAAGAGGTTGAGCTTGGTTTTAGATTTTCTTCATAGCTCGGCAGTTGACGCCTAGGAAAGTTGAGGGTCCTCTGATTCCTCTTACTAATAGGATCCTTGAGGTTCCCTGAAGGAAAATGCCTCTATAATGACTACCTAATTGGACTGCTTTTAAAAAATTAGCTGTTTTGATAAATGAGACTTGCTGAGGACTACTTTAGAATTTGCTGTGGGGCATTTCCTGTCTTTACTGTCTTGCGGGCAGAGATTTGCATGTGGATAGAATGCACTGACACCCATAAAGGCTCCACCACGTCACTGTCTGTCCCAGGCTATACAGCAGGCTGTGATGAAGGCACTTTTCTGGTTGGTCCTATGGGTCCTGTTTCTTGTTATGTGTGTGGCCTTAGCAAGAACATCTGGATTTAGCCAGTAACCTGCCACCACCCCGCCCTTCTTTCCCAGCTCTTTGACCTCCTGGATATTGGTGACTATCCCAGATAAACAAAAGGGATAAAGTTCATAGAATTATGGTGACAAAGGCTTACAGCCCCAGCCCAGCTCTTTGGATCCACTTCAGCAGCCTCTGGGAGACAGTGGCCAAGATCTGGGCTTCCCAGGTCTGTGCCTCAGAAGTCTGGGTCAAAGAACAACCAGCCCTATTCATACAGAAAGTTTCTTTTTGGCATTAAGTGCCTGAAAGAAAACTTTCAGCTGGGCATAGTGGCACTCTTCTTTAATCTCAGCACTGGGGAAGCAGAGGCAGGCAGACCGATGAGTTCAAGGACAGCCAGAGCTATGCAATGAGACTCTGTCTGGAGGAAGGGGGGGGGGGGGGGTTAGCACTGTTTGTTTTCCTAGTCAGCCCGTAAGAGCTGGTACCCTGCTAGTCGGGGAGTCTAAGGAAGACACAGTGCCGTGTCCTCTTTGCAATAGGAGAGTATTCAGTTCTCCTGGGGACAGAGATGTAGGAAGTCCAGAGCTATTAGCACTTCTGAGAAGCAGTTTCCCAAATTACATACTACAACCACAGGCTCTTCTCTCTGAGGCTGGGGGGCTTTCCTCTACTAACCTGAGTGGACATAGGGTTGGCTTTAGCCAGAATACTGCAGGATAAAGGATATCTTACACCTGTGTATTCAGGATATAGTGGACCATGCAGAGAAGTAAGGAAAAGCTCCCTTTGTGGCTAGGACCCTGCCTCTGTTTCTTTACCTTTTCCCTTCCTCATCTACTCAGAGAGGAAGGTAGGCTCTCTAGCCAGGACATTCTCCTCAAGTACAGGTGCTGTCACTCTCCTCCCCAGCCTCCCCTTTTCAGGGTGACAAACTTAGAGAGAATAGATGGGCAATATAATAATATTGAATCACATTCTCTGCTATTCATTAGCAGTGCTGGAAGTTGCCTCTTGTCTAGTAGTCTTCATGTTGTTGGCTATATTCTTAATAAGAGCACATTTGTGATCTACGCCCCAAGAGCCCATAGTTCCAGCCAAGCATAGTGACCGTGCCTGTAGTCCTACTTCTCAGAAAGCTGAGAATGGAGGGCCACTCACGCCCATGAGTTAGAGAACATCCTAGGCAATATGATAAGAATAGTATAAAAAGCCGGGCAGTGGTGGCGCACGCCTTTAATCCCAGCACTCGAGGCAGAGGCAGGCGGATCTTTGAGTTTGAGGCCAGCCTGGTCTACAGAGGAAGTTACAGGACTTGCTCCAAAGCTACAGAGAAACCCTGTCTTGAACCCCCTCTAAATAATAATAAGTAGATTAATTAATTAAAAAGCTATCATTAGTCTCCCAAACAAGCCAGTGCTTGCCTAACTGAGGACCTTTGACCTGGGCTTGTCCCTTTCTCAATCAAACTAAACTAGTGCCTTGTGCCTCATCTCATTGATTTCAGGCAAAAGCCGGTCATCTTTATCTGCTCTTAGGAACTCAGACAACGGGTGTGATGTGGGAACGATCCCGATGGCTCTGACTTTCTTCTGTGCTGACACTTTTCACCTAGAGTGCTGTACGGTTTACTCCGGATTAGAGTTGGGTTTTACTCCGGATTAGAGTTGGGTGTCCTCCTCATCCAGCTAATGGTGGCTGGCCAGACCATTCTTCATTCTTTCTGTGTGTGTTCTTGTGATCCTTGTCACTTGTGTATTGATAAACTCAAAGTATCTGCCAGTAAGCCAATAAGATTTTTTTTGTTTGTTTTTAAATCAGAAAGTTTATTATCAGGAAGACTAATAATGATAGAATAAAGTCCTGACTTGAAAATGGACACTCCCTGGGGGAAGTGTATCACAGACTCTAGAGAAGGCTAAAGAACAACCCAAATAAAAATGATTCTTCTTAGAGCCATTCTGAATTCACTCTCCTGGAATTCACTCTGTAGACCAGCCCAGTCTTGAACTCACAGAGATCCGCCCTGCCTCTTCCTCCCAAGTGCTGGGATTAAAGGCATGCACTATCACCACCTGGCTATCACAGCTTTGCTTTGTTTGTCTGTTTAAGAGAAAAAGAAGGAGAGAAACAGAGAAAAGAAAAAGCCATATGTCTTCACCCATATGACGACAGTAATTCACAGACTGCAGACAGCAGAGTAGGAAAACTTGAGGCAGGAGACAGTGGCAACACCTAGTCCCACTTCCTAGTCTGCTCCATTCTTCATGGCGCAGCCACTTGCTTATTTCTGCTTAGAATCCTCATGTTAGTGCGAGTTCTTCCTTGTAGTTATAGGTCCTTGGAGCCAGGTGCCCTAATGCATTTGTAGTGGTACCCACAACCAAATATGGAAAGCCTGGAGGGTCCTGAGTCTGAAAGTAGCCATTACTACTTAGTGAGTCTTCATCCCAGAAGCCTCTTCTCCCTCCCTTCTGATTCTGAAATCCAAAGTGCCTTCCAGAATAGCTCTGTATAGAAGGTAGTTTTCCTAACTCTTCAGTTTTTCCCATCCAGGGAGGTGTAATATTTACACTAATTAAGGGACAGCAGAAACTGTTTTGTCGCAGTTTTTTAGTGCCTGGGATGTCTATGCGCATAATATCTGCCCTCAGTTACCACTGTGGAAGTAACTACCATTGTCACTAGAGAAAAAGGACTTAACAGGGAAGGGAGGCAAGAGCCTACTTCAGGAAGCCTCGGATGGAATTATATCCCTCAGGCATGCCGGGTTTGTGTTCTTCTGAGGTCTCAGGCCTTCCTGTCCCTGGGACCTAGCTATTCACTCTGCCCCTGCAAACAGAGTGCTGTGGACACCTTCAAAAGAAGTAACAGTGCCTTTTGCAAGATCTCCTGTCACTTCCTATGGGCTAGCACATCGTTTAGTATGGCATGTTGTTCTACCTGTAATTCCTGCACTGAGGAGGCTGAGGCAGGGAGCTTACAAGTTTGGGTATAGACCACATCGTAAGTTCTGACCTTTCTGGGATGCACAGCAGGGAATGGAGGAAGGAAAGAGGGAGAGAAAGAAAATGAGAAATTGATTCTCATCTCTACCTTAAGATGGTAGACTGCTAGTGTGCGTTGGGATCCTTTGTGTGAAATGTTAGACTGTTGTGCCTTCATCTCTACTCTAAGTGCTCATTTGATCTGTGCTATGGCCTTCAAATGTAGTGCTTAGCTGTTCTAATGTTTAAAGCTAGATGCCTTCCATTTGGTTCCTTAGCACTCCAAAGGGTATTAGCAGATGCCAGCAAGCCAGCCTGACACACTTAAAAGTCAGTACTCTACAAAGAGATTTTTTTCTTTTTTAATATCAAATTAAGATACATAATTGAACAAATTTAATTGTAGTCATTTCTGTTGGATTCATGATTAGAAAGTAGTTATTTGGTTTTTCTCCATATTCTTGCAGGTTTAGTAATTGTATACAAGGGGCCTTAGCTACTGTTCACACAGGGACCCACATCATAACAGGACAAGCTTTTGGAGAATAAAGTTCTCAAAGATCTTGGGTAAAAGAGAAGACCTTCCTCTAGTTTATGCTTCTGTTAGAACTTTGAAGGAATGTCAGCATGCCTGTTATTAACTCTAATAACTTGCACAGCACAGTGTGGTTGCTTTGGGGCCTTCTGACTCTCAGGTTACCTGTATAAATACAGGATTCACTTCCCTGCATCCAGCTATTCCATTTGCTTAATAAAGAGCAAATGTGCAGAGCCCAGCAGCAGCAGTCTGGCAGGAGAAGTAGTCTGAGCAGGATAAGCATGCTTCCTTTTTGTGTGGCGCTCTCTCCGTCTCCTCCAGGAGTAGGGTATCAAATGAAGGGAAGGCTGTGGCTGGAGTCGGGACTATGAATGTCTAAGTGGCACCTGCTTCATTCAATAGATCTGCTTTCCTGGGCCTCCCACTGCACATCTGCTCCTGACAAAGCCCCTTTCTCCTCCTGTTGGTCAGACTGAGAGCAAGGGCCCAGCAAGAAGACATGCTGGTTCTGCTTTGTCAGCACAATTGCCTGTGACATTATAATTACACCAAATCTTCATTGTCAGAAGGGCTCCAATTTAGAGATTTTGAAAACCTAAATGGGGTTTTCAAAGTGAAATTGATTTTTTAAAAAAATCTTTGCTGTTGTAAAGCCAGCAATTGGATCTGAGAATCACTGAAGGGATCTAAGTATGGGAACAGAGACATCGACTCTGAGAGGGCAACAAAGGCAGTGCTCTCAGATTGGCTCTTCTGACTCTGCCCGCCCCAGCCTCTCCGTGGTGCTCAGTACTAACATAAGGTGCACCTAAGGTACTAGGTGCTTGTAATGATGGTGTAGTCTCTCCTGGGCAGGCCCAAGGAGCAAGAAAATGTTAACCTAAATTGATAAGGTAGGGAAGAAAAGGAAAGAAAGAATTGTGGTATAAAACAAGGAAATGTCCAGGAAATATATTTCTGGGTAATACAAAGTGTCCATTTTCAGACTGAGTTTCCATCTAAACAAAGGCAGCTCTTCC